GTAATATGGAGTCAATTGGAATATTAAGTGAACAGATGCTAGTTTAACATTGTTAAAATAAGAATCAGAAATGACTGATGTCTTCCTGTAGCACAACTGGCGCAATAGGATGGCTAAAGATGAGCTTAAAAAGTAAGAATTAGAATTACAGCTTGTCTTCTTTCCATTAACAATATTGTAATCTCCCATCATAACTTTCTTTGATGGAAACTCATCTTCCACTTTGGAGGAAGCTATCAAGGAATATATATATATATATAGTAGCTCAATTACCTCATGAATGGGCTTACTTTCCTCTTCACTCCCAAATTCAAATTCAGGTGCATTTTCAGGAATAGTGGATTCTCCCAACTCCTGTGTTCCCTCACCTTCCTCTTCCTCCTCCTCTTCTTCAAGTCCAACTCTTTTTCCTGTTTTGATCATGACCAATTCTTGCAAGCGTTCTTCAAATTGAATATGAAAAATATTTAGCTTATCTGCTAACCACCGGGCACAGATTGTTTTACCCACTCCATGTGGCCCTAACAGACATATTCTTATAGGAGGAGCCTGAAAAGGAAATATGTGAATATCATTATATAGGTTTTTTAAAAGAGAAGGTCTTGATCAATAAGATTATCAAATTAATATTTCTAAGAAAAACCTTTTGAGAAACATCAGGCAGGAGATCCATATTTTCAAACGTATTATTGATTAATAGTAAATACTTCAGCATGAGTAACAGAATTACATATAGAAAGTAATGTTGCATGATAGTGGTTCTATTCAGATGCTGCATTCATACGTCTGCACATTTCAAAGCATCTCTTTGGAATCAAACCTGTAGCACTGCATAGCCTTAGTAGTTAAAAGAAACAATAAATAAGTAAGCAACCCAGCTATACTATGTGGAAAGAGCTAGCTAACTTTGGATAATCTTAAAAATCTAAGCAGGAGCAGATGAAGTTTGTCATTAGATGAGAGACCACCATAAATTTCCAGAGCTGGAGTCAAAACTCTGAAATTGAACAGATCCCAGAAGATGGTAATGATAAACTATTTCTGTAAGAATACTACATAGATGTGTCTCAGAGAAGACCTTTCCTAACTTACAAAATGAAAATGTGATCTGTATTTTAAAGGAAGGATGAAAACTGTTAGCTATCAAATATTGTAAAATTACAATCCCCAGCATTACCAATCATGCTAGCAAGGAGTGTTTGGAACTGGAGTTCAACAATGGTTTTATTGATATACTGAATTGCTATTCATTTAAGTAATACAGAGATGGAAGTATAGTATAGAAAAAAAAAGATGTGGAGACTCTAGAAAGAGTGCAGAGAAGAGCAACAAAGATGATTAGGGGATTGGAGACTAAAACATATGAAGAACGGTTGCAGGAACTGGGATGTCTAGTTTAATAGAAAGAAGGACTAGGGGAGACATGATAGCAGTGTTCCAATATCTCATGGGTTGCCACAAAGAAGAGGGA